GGGGAATTCTGGGAGTTGAAGTCCACTCATCTTAAAGTGGCCAAGTTTGGACAACACTGGCGTACGGCATTGTTGCCGTCTAAATCTGCTTCCTTGCAATTCGGGGTCTCTGCAGAGGGTGGCTGAAGAAACACCAAGGTGGCAGCTATGACAGCACAGAGCCCCAGCTGTTTTTTATGCGCATTGCGACACACATAAAAATGGGTGGCCCTTTGATCATACTGCCAGGTTGCCGCCTTCGCTTTTTTCTATCACCCCCTGTGGACAAGACAGAGATCAAAACTAAGAATGCCGAACTCGATACACCAAGGTTGGGATTTTCGTGAGCGGTGGGTTCAATCCTTCCAGGAACGTTGTGAACAGTCCATTATATTTCCTAATGCGTTAAGAAGTTCGTTCTTATTGTTACTTAAAAATTAATCTAATGAATGGTTCCCTCTCTCTTTCCCATTATGTTTGCTTGTACGACTGTACAAGGACTCCTGGGAATATGTGCCAGCTGGGTGGAATCTCAACATGCCCTGCCTGGAATGAGAGCTTGCCCTAAATTATGCCACACCCGTGATTCCAGGTGTCCACCTGTTTTAAAGAAAAAATTATAGGAACGGGCCAGTTGTACTGGTTCATCTACTTACTAGCATTTGGAAACGTCTACTCAGACACACGAATAAGTAAGCAGAAAGGGCAGCTCGTTAATGGTATTAAATTGGTTTTGTAATCTTTTGTTTGGTAGTTTTAAAACTGTTTTTATGCTTCTTATTTGCGAGCCACCTAGAGTCACTTGTATAGTGAGATGGGCGGCGTATAAATTTGATTTATAAATAAAATAAATAAAATGATGAATATGATGCCATTATATATAATGGTATTTATGTTAATTGGGCTTACAAGGGAGGTAGTTATAGGATTCATGCCCATTATTGTTATTTTAGAACCATTTGGATAACTGGTAAAATTTAGAAACAAGTTTTAATTACCATAGGCTGCTGGATGAACAACAATTAACACCAAAAGACAAAACATTGCGATAATCACACTAATGAAGCTAATCCAAAGTAATATCAAATCACATCTGACTAAGTTGCCATACAGAATTCCATGACTGGGTGCCATTGCAGAGAAGCCTTGTCGGTTGTAGCTAACTAACTTGCTTCTTAATATGGAAGCATCCAGAGAAAGGCTTGGATGATGGCCTAAGGATAGATGGGGATGGAATCCTGGTCATCACCATTTGAAAGGAAAAGTTAGTTCTTTGTTGGTAATTTTTTAAAAATGTTACCAATTACCCAATGATCTCCACTAAGTTTCTTCTGGGATATAATCCATCTGGCCCAGGAGACTTAAATTAACTAAGTTCTCACTTCCTTCTTGTATCTCCTAAGTTGCAGTTCCTTTATTCCCCCAGTGGCATACTGATGACTGGCTTGGGCTCCATCTCTCTTCAGAGAAGACCAACACAAAAGAGGGGTTAAGAAGTTCTGTTTTCTCACCATCACCCTGACTCACCATTTTCTCCTTGCAATGGAACAATATGGGAGTTTAATTCTAAGTCTAAGTCAGTGTTCTTATTACTATAAATTTTTGTTTCTGTTTAAACCTGATTTAAGGAGGTTGGGAATGTATGCCACTTGGAGACAATGATTGGAGTGGTGTATCAATCCAATGAAATAAATAGAAATCCAATCTTATATGAACAAGTGACAGTTGAGTAATTCTGCCCGAACACCCTCCAATGGAGATGTTGCTTTGTACCCAAATCAAAGAAATGAGAATCCATACTGAAGTTAGTTGGGACATCCTTAGAGATACGACAGGCTCCTTAGAGATACGACAGGCTCACTGAGCTTTGTGGGTCCCTAGGATTTCAGACAGAACTGCCCTCTCAAGAAACACTCCAGATTGAACCTTTTGATCTTTTGCACACTCTACATCTGAGCTATGATCCATCCAAGTCTCTTCTTTGGGGATGTAGCTCTGAGATTCATACAGACTTCAACCTTGTGCTTGGGCAGAACTGACAACCAGACTATATATTAGAGCATGTTTTCTATGCTTAGAGTCAATAATATTATGCCAGCACAGAATATGGACCCCTCGCAGGCAGTGTTCAGTGTAGAATGCTAATTATTCATCCATCCCCATGTATTTATAATATTGGGTATAGTTAAGTAAAATAAATCTACATTTTTGGACTGAGTATTTATCTAGATATAATCTAGGGAGTCATTGCCAAATTAACTTGGGAACAGAATAAGTGCTAAAAATGAACACTGTCTTAAGATAAACCCTAATGCCACACGTTCTGCCCTGGAATGGGAAGATGATATAATGCTATTTTCTCTCCTCCATTACAGTGGAAAACTGTCAATTTTTCCTTATTGTCAGAGAAATGGAATATTCTGTTCAAAGGATGAAAAGAGCAATGGCTGTCTCTGAAGTGGTGTCGTGAGAATAGGACTTTTGGGACAAAACCATGGGCTCTATTCATCAGAAAGGAGTAGGGAAGTCTCTAGATGCATCAGAGCTGGCTTTATCACATTTTGAAGAACAGGATGTAATACACATTATCGTTGAAAAGATTGGGAAAACAGGGAAACTTCCCCATAAAACTAGGAAATCTAAAAATTAATATTACCTAACTTCATTCATTTGCAGTTTTTAAAATCAAGTCCTCCACTATAAGCTTGCGTTGTTTTGCGGCCACTTTCTAAAAATGCCTTCAGCCTCAGAAAATGTTGTTCCTCCCAGACAAATAGGGAACAAATACCAAGAATCCAAGGCTCTCCAGCGCTAAGGCAGCTGGAAGGCTGAGGCACACCTCCATATCTATCTTTCATGAGAAATAAACTTGAATCAAGGACATTCCAAGAAATCTGCATTCTCTGGATGTGGAGCTCAGATGGAGAGAAGAGCAAGCAAGGAGTTTGGGGCAGATCTTCTTCATTAAAACCAAGAGAGACCAGTCTCCTGGTTCTCCTTGAAGGAAAGGCATGCAGCAAAAGAAAAGTTATCTGAGATGAGAAAGGGTTCCCAGCCTTTTCACAACTCCGTGGAATAACTACCCGGAACCGTGTACCCCAGTTTCCCTTCCCTCCATTGTGAGAGATACAGAAACAGCCTCTTACATTGCCAGCCACTTTTCGTCTGTATTGGACATCTAACTCCAGGATATCCATGGCCTCCCAGGTGCTCAGAAATGCTGCTGAGTTTCAGAGGCCAATTACAACTGCACCTTGCACTGATGGACTTTCATCTTCCATACTGTGCAAGGCGCCAAACTGATAACAGGACAACTGATTCTTCTTGCCCTCTCTCTGCTTGGTATCAGATTGGCAAGATGAATCTTTCTTTGGTACAGTGAGAACTTGATGGGGCGTTTTGAGGGACTAAGGGGGGAAAAAGTAGATCACTTGAATGCAACTGGGGCATCCATAGCAAAGCTTCTGCAGAAAAGGCGGGCCTGGTCTGATGATATTCTGGTGTTTGTGCTCATTCATCACTCTGTATCTGAAAGGCAGGCAGGAACCAGTGATTTCAGGGGAGAGGGTGGGAAGGAGGGAAAGAGATTGACTCACTTATAAACAGGGAAAAGTTTTAGGGAACTTCCAGAGAATGGGGTTGCCAGCATTGAAGGAGCTCTGGTGGGCCTTCCACATCCTGCCCATTGCTCTTCCATCCAATTTCTACTCTACGCTCTCAGTTCTCTCTTTCCTTTAACTTTTCAAAGCGTTTGAATGAATTCTAGAGTTCATCTGTATTTGAACTCAGCATTTTTATTTCCCCAGAGGGAGGAAACAAAGGGCCACAGCTTTTAAAAAATGAAACCAGCATTAAAACCTTTTTTTGGGGGGGGGAGCTCCAGGCTCCTTACTTTTTACCCAGTGGTCCAGGCTTAAAGGCTTCTGTGTGTGTGAATCAGCAGAGCTCAGTTGTTCATCTCAAACAGGAGACACACCGCAGGGCAGGGCAGCCCCTCTCCAAATTTACTGCCTTTTCAATCTCAGAGTCCCTATAATATTCCCAGAATTCTCATCTTGCCTGCTTCTTTAATCCAGCACTCCAGACACTGGCCCGGTTGGCTGGCAATCCGGGAATTGAGGTCCCAACACTTCCGAAGAGCACCAGGTTGGAGAAAGCTGATCTCAGTGCAACCATTGATGATGCCTGGGTGAGGTGGAGCTGAGCAGCTGAAGCAATAAACAAATGAGTAATATTGGGTGGTAAATGCTGGATCTCCTTGATCTCCTACGTTGCCAGTTGTTTATAAGATGTTACAATTAGATTTCATTGAGGTCTTCATGATATTTGTGCTCTTGCATTTCGTTTGATTGGTTGATGGACAGTAGCAAATGTTAACAATGGTTATTTTTTAAAAATAACTTTGTATCTTATCACTATTTATCTCCAAAAAGGGGCCTCTTAGGACAAACTGCATGTAATGTTGGGGCTATGTTAAGCAACTCCCACCAGCTTACATTTTACGGCAACTTTGGGGACATCAATATTTATTATAGTCTATGATCAATCATACCCCAAACATCCTAGATAGACAGACACAGAAGGTTTTATAATGCAAATAGCATCTGTTTAAATATAAGAAAATACAAAGCGAAAGTGAAGGAGGGAGCCATACTAACTAATAATGTACCCAATAATCTAACATTCAAATGTTGCAATTTCCTCTTTCATTGCTAGTTACCTAAATCTCAATTACTTATCCTAATGAGCTTCTTTTTTGTATGCTGAAAGCTACTAAACGCAATGCAGCGATGCTATCTGAGATGTTGGCGTTCCGATTTGAGAAGAGCAGAGTGATATCAAACTTAGTGGACTGCCTCTTATCACAACTATTGTGATAAAAGGGACTGTGGAGAAGGACATGATCAACTGTGTCTCCTCCTTATTACAAGGGTCCGCTAAGAGCATCAGTTTCAGGTAGTGGCAGAGGAGAGACATTAGTGCTTTTCTGTAAGCTTTGGGCATCAATTCTCAGCAGTCCCAATACGTGGCCAATAGAAAGGAATTCTGGGAGATGTAGTCCAAAATATCAGGCTACTTTTCCTTGATAACATCTCTGAGCTGCCAAAATCTAAGGTCCATAAATGGCAATTTAAATTGTTGGTATTTTCAGTATCTTTTTCTTACCATCATTTGGATTTTGGCAGCTCCAAGAGGTTCGCCATCCGGCGTTCCTTTGAACACTGCTCCGTAGCTTCCAAAGCAGGACGCCTATTTCAAAAGGTCCCAACTAGGGAAGACTTCTATTTGAAACCCTGGAGAGCTCCCAGTCAGCGTTGTCAATACTGGAAGGCATGAATTCAAGGTTGGATTTGTTAAGAATACTTTTCTGATGTTCCAGATTTAGACACCACTTTCAACTCCACCCTGCAAATGGTTTTTTCTTTTTCTTTAAACAACGCTTCTGTATAATACATATCCTGTTAGTGGACCTTGAAAAAAGCCAGGCAAGGTCAGACCTGCTTAATGCATGGATGGGAGACCACCCAGGAAATCTCAAGGTTGCAGGCTGAACTGGGAGGTGGAAGAAACGCCCTGGAAGAAGGCAATGGCAAATTACTTCCAGATAGTGGCCAAGAAAACTACTTGGATGTATGTTGTGTCCATATAGTTACTAGGAGATTAGCCTGAATCAAGAGAGCCTTTCTTTCCTCTCCTGAATACATCCATTCTTCCCTTTCTTCCATCAGGATATTTTTTTTTTTAAATGCAAACTGGAATAGAAGTGCAGAAAAGTTTTCAGTGGCCAGTTGTGATTTATTCCAGATATGTGGGACTTCACATTCCCATGAAGTTCCACATATCCCTGAGATCCTGGAGTCTGTAGAGAATTGCTTAATGCTGTCCCTGTTTCTCTTGCTAAAACGAAACACAAATGAAAAAAAAAACATAAGAAAGGTGCCTCTGCCAGTGATAGATTTGGACTACAACCCAGCAACTGAAAAGCAATACTGGGATCTTGCTGGAGGACTCAGCCTTTGCTGACTAAGATGCCCACAAGACCATTGCCCAAAGCAACAGAGAATTTAAATTAGAATAAAAGTCTGCTCTAGGGTAGAACAGGACAGAGGACTTAGATTTTGCCACTCCTGGTCATCCAGGGAACTGTGAATCTCTGCACCTTACCTGGCACCAACACTTTGTTGAATCCTTGCATCTGTCCAGAAGCACTGAAGCTTTGCTTTGATGTTGGACCCCACTCAAAAGGGAAAGGGAGGTTTTAAGTTCCCACTATACCAGTGTTGTCCAAACTTGGCCACTTTAAGATGAGTGGAGTTCAACTCCCAGAATTCCCCAGCCAGCCATGCTGGCTGGGGAATTCTGGGAGTTGAAGTCCACTCATCTTAAAGTGCCCAGGTTTGGACAACACTGCACTATACTGAAAGTAAGAGAAGAAATCAAAGGTGGCCCTTGCATAAAGGAGTGGAAAGAAGTTAGAAGTGGCTCTCTAGCTTTTCCAGTAAATGCATCTTGAGACGTACCTTGAGCATTCCTTCTCTTTGGGCTAGCGAGGGCATTTCTCCCATAGAAGTCTGACAACAGAGAGAGCACTGCTGTCTAGGAGATGTTGTATTCAGTCATGGGATGCTCTCTGTTCCCCTCTGGAAATGGTTCTTCTGTCCTTATTCAACATATTGCAGTGAGAAGATCGCCTGAATGTAGACACTGTTCCAAACAGGACGCCAGTGGATCCCAGATAGATTGAGATAGCCTCGAACATCCGGTCAGAGGAGGCCTTCAAATGCTTAGTTATTCCGTTTCCAAGAGTTGTATTTCTACTCCTCGCTGGAGCAGCTTGTGAAATGTTTCTAGCCAGGTGACTACTAATTCAACCACCTCTGGGGAGGATGATCTACGTAGCAGGGAAGGCAAATAACATTTTGTTTCACCACATACAGAAGCATGTCTTGGGGTGTAGCTATAATTTTCAGACCTTGGGAGGACACTAGAGCCTTTCAAGGTACAGAATGTAGCAGGTGAACCCTCAGCCACAACTTATGGGTTAGCCAACAAATCATTAGCCTTATTAAAGAAGCAGTTTACATCAAACAGGTAGGGAAGGATTGCCTTTGTCCTGCCAAAGAGAAACAACACTCATTGCTTGACTAATATTCAGAGAAGAGGGATGTTGAAAAGTAGATCCCAATCATTATAGCAGGTCTGATTGCTGCTAAGGCAAGCTCAAAGGATCCACTGAAAAGCCTACTTTTCAGTGGAAGGCATCCAACTTGTAACAAAGGGCATCACTTTTATAGTAGCATTTGTGTTTAAAGGCTAAGTCATGCCTCTACTTCAGCTTTCCAGACATTCAAAATGCCAGTTCTTTTCATCAAAACTTTTGATTCCAACCTTTCCCAAACTGGACCTCTCTAGCTATCATTGATTAACCCTCACAATTCCCCAAAAAACTAGATTTGACATGGGGGGATATTAAATATTCATTTAATTTTTTCCCCCAAAATCCAACTTGGTTTACCATCCACCTCTAAAAATAAACTAACTAAAGGACAAAGATTCTAATGAAAAATCTTACTGTGATCTAAGTGGGTCCTCACGGACATGAATAAACAACTACACTTTCACTGGCCACCAATAGTTTGGGTGGTGTCCCCAAAACAAGCAGGAATGGACTTCAAAACTGCTGGTCTATATTCCAAATGCCTGTGTTGTGGCATAGTTATATTAGTCTGAGTATTGTTGAGAAACTTCTGTCAAAACTTAAGTAATTCAAAGTAGGGTGGTATAGAAATGTTGTTACAAATAAATTCAGTAGAAATCCAGGCAGGATGTAATCAGGACATGAATGTTAACGTGACACGCACATCAATTTAAACTTGCAAAAGGTGTTTTAAGCACCTTGATGGTGAAATGTATTTGAATCAATTGGTAATTTGCTTTGTAATTAAAGGTGTGCATTTTCATCTAAAGTGTTTGAACCCCAACTCCCTGGGAAGATGGTGGATTTGTTGATTTCCCTTTTTATGCCAGTTTTGATGCTTTGGTGTTTCTCATTTCCTCTGCTTCAATCTATGCATCTGTTTTAAGTATACAGTTCAGAAACTCACATGCATTTTCATTTAAGTACCTAATACATGCACTATCAAATGTACTTTCCTAGCATATGTACTTTTTGCAAGTGCTTTTCTCCCTTAGTATAATGTATTTATGCACACTTGTGCTGCAAAGAAGTGCAGATCTCGGAATATGGAATTTTCATGGAGCTGATAGTAGGATATAAGAAATACATTTTCTTAAAAATGCAAGTCAAGTAATTTCCTCCACTATCCTACTTCCTAGTTAATTCTTTCACCTCCCAACATGTTATTCTTGTCTGGATTAGGACTGGCCTTAATCCAGTCAATTACTGATCTCAGATATCAGCATTTCCGTTACTTGAATTTGATAGACAAAATAAATATCAAAATACAGATGACAGCATATCTTAAATTCTAAGATAATTTCACTTAGTAGCTTAATGTTGACACTAAATAACATCAAAGTTTATCTATAGGGTTCAACTGTCATGGGGAAAAGCATAGTTCCAATAGAGGCGAAAAAGAGTTTTCTGAAAACAGCTGTTCAGATAAGTATAGAACCATTGAAGCAGTACACACTTGATCCTCGAATTAGATCAAAAAACAAAAACAAAAACACCCCAAAAACAAAAAAACATGGACAACATCAGTCTTCTCCAGCCAAGCGCTCTTGAGATTTGTTAGGGCTAGGACAACCAGGGATTCGCAGATAGGATTTCCAGACCATGTTGTCCAGGAATATGGCCTTTAAGACATCTGGAGAACCAATGCTCAGGGAAGGAATGGTTAACAGTATTAGAAAGCTGCATTTCCTACAACCCTAGGAACAGTAGTGCCAGCAATTGTTTATTTATGTACACTGTTTTATTGTATTTTAATCGGTATCTATTTTGGTTTATTGTAAACCACCCAGAGTTGCTCTTTGAGCGAGATGGGTGGTGACGAAATTTGAAATATAAATAAATAAATTTAAAAAATGGCTTTGAATTGCATCCAGTTGGGGAAGTCAGGTCAATGGTACTGAAAGGCTGTACTGTTGGGGATTAATCCCAACATACAAGGATACCTGGGGGAAACTTGCTGACTAAATTAAAAACTGCAGACAATACCTTGGATCCAGGACAGACAATTCAGGGTACTGCTGTCTACAGGTGCCCAGCCACTAACTATTCAAGCACCTTGAAAGTTACTTTTCAGTTGTCATTTCAATTACTTAGAGATTTTGTGTACAATGAAGTCTTGATTTTCTGGACTTCTACTGAACAGACCTTGCATGCAACAGAATAAATTCCATTATGATTTGTGTCACTTGCACAAAAATGTCATCATGCCAATGACATAGGCATGATTATTACTCTTTGATTTTTCAGACTTGGGAAATAACAGAACCCTTTCCCCCCAGCTAGACCATTCAGAGAAGTTTTTTCTGTATTTCTTACCAGCTGACAGACTGAGTCCAGACTTTGGGCTCTGAATTTAGGGAAGCCTATTTCAAAGAACCAGATTCACAACTGCCTCCCTTACAGTAGCTAGAACCATTTACTCTTAGAAAGGGATAGGTTCGTGAAATCATTACCCTTTTACCACGTGTAATGAAATGGAAAGATAAAGATCAATTGAACAAACTAGGACAAGGGTTAAGTTACACAAAAGTTAAGTTACTTCAAAAGTCACAGGGTTTGGTTCTGATAATGATACTGGCAAATAAGCCACATTGCATCACATAGTTTCTGTTGCAAGTGCAGGAGAATCATTTAATCACATAAATGATCTCGATAGTTAAAAATGTTGATAGCCAGCCAATAGATCTTAAGAACTGGAGAAACATGATGGATCCATGACCATACAGAGCAGGAAAAGATATAAAGCTTACTGTACATTTAAGACACATGCACAATCTAGGAAGACATTTTTAAGAGGGAAATATTGAAAACATGTATATGGATGGAACTTCCTTTCTCAATAGATAGTGATAGCGTCTCTAAGCCCAATCTTCAACGAAGCCAAGCTATTTAAAATTCTTTTAAGTCCCATCTTGGACCACAGTAGAAGTAATGACTTCCATTGTAAATCAAGCTTTCCCATAGATTGTCAACAATAGACTTTTGAATTTGTGGCCAAAACATAAGCAAAGGAAGTTATAATGAGGATGCACGATAGAACCAGATTATTCACTTAAGGTTCAACTTCAACATTTAATCTGGATGTGGTTTGCTTCAGTTATTAACAATTTGAAATAATAACTATTTGGAAATAATTATTTCTATTTGTTTCGTGATGAATTGGAAAAGTGGGGGGGAAGTCTATTGATGACGAAACAAAGTGGGAAAGTAACCAATTTGTTTTATTATCACATTTGCCACTCATTTGGGAATAATGGAGGCTAGGGGATAGGTGGGTCATCTTTTCTCCCACTCAGCAGCTAAAATTGGTTTTAATGGCTGCTTACTGGTGGATAGCATTTTTTCCTCCCCCAGTTCTCTCAACGCTGAGTTTCATGTGAGTTGTCATGCCCCAGGTTGGGGAAAGTTGCTCTACTTACACAAACCCTGTCCTATTCTTTTCCAGACAACCTGACAGAATAACTGAGCACAACCTTATCCAACCTATCCATCTCACCCTCAGACATAGTGATGAACCTGGAATGGGTAAAATGAAAGAATAGCTATTTGTCTTGCCATAAATTGACATAACTGCTCCAAATCTCAATATTTATTACTTGTAAATATTCCCTTTAGACTCCATAAAAACTCTTGAATTTTGCCCAACATGTTCTCCATCTATTTCAGTAGGCCTCCTCTAAATTTAAGACTGGCTCCAATTCTATGTTTCTAACAACCATGCTTCCTACAAGTCTCCCTCTAATACATGTAATTGAGATTTCATAGTGCCTTTTCATTAAAAAAAAAATTAGAGGGCACTATGACAACTTAGATAGTTCTTTGTATAACTGTTGAAGACAGAGTCCAGCAATGGGTTTCTGTAGAGATTTTTATAATAAACTTTTAAAAAGTAGATTTTATATACATATGTGTTCTACACATGACGTCTTGCCACAGCAAGTTGCTGGAGAAAACAAATTTCTTGTCAAAGAAAGGTATTTTCTCTCTAAGAGACCAGATCTCTGGGGAAAGGCTACATGCTGTATGTAAACTTAGTTGTCCTCAGCATCTGCAGGTAAACACAAGAAAGATTCTTGTCCAAAACTCTGTAAAGTTAATGCTAATGTTGAGAAGCTTTCCACACCTGCCACCATCCAGATCTTAGGGCTGCAGCTCTTAAAATCCCAACACTTCCAGGAAGCATTATGTTGGGGAAGGTTGACATAGATCATATGAAATGGAACTGAATGGACCACTTGCCAGAGTCTGTGTAGAGTTACTTCTATCCTTGGGAGACTATAGTTTAAAGAAAGCCAAGCTTCCACAGCACAACATGTGACACCTCCATTGAGTGTGAAGTGGTACAGTCACCATTCTGCGGTACACATAAAACACAAGAAAAATAAAGAGGAAAAACTCAGATGAGACAGTAGTGACTCAGAAGCCAAATACGTGCTATGTAGGAAAAACAAAACAAAGGAACGATTATGGCC